GTCTCAAGTTGCTCAATTTTAGTAGATAGCTCCATATTAAGATTGACAAAAGTTTCATATTGTTCAAGCAAAGTAGCATAAGCTTGTTGTGAGCTATCTAGTTTTTCTTTTAATTTTTCAAGCTTCTTTTGTTGATTAGTGTAAATTTTAGCAAAGTTAAGATTTTCTTGCACAATTTCATCATAAGAAGGTAGCTCATCATCACTATCACTATTATTGTCATTATCACTAGGGATAGGCTTTTTGTTACCTCGTGCCATAAGACACACACGTGAGGTGCTTAATGATGAGTGCTTGTGCCATCGCCTCTTGTGATGGTTTTCTTCTTCACTTGAAGAACTATCCTATGACTTTATTGATGTGAGGGCTTTGTCCTTGCACGCCTTCTTCTTTGTCTTGGGTGTGGGCTTGTTTGGACAAACTTTCACAAAGTGCCCTAACTCACCGCATCTATAGCATCCTATCTTTCTTTGCTCATTTCTTTGATTGGTGAAGATGAAATCTTGAATTTGGATGAGCACACCCTTGACATTGAGCCTTTGGATCATCTTCTCCACCTTATTGATAAGTTTGATTGATTCTTCAAGGTTGGAGGCGGAGAAGGAAGATTGATCATCATCACTTGAATCTTCATCATCATCTTCTTCATCTTCACTTGAGGAGCTTGAGCTTGAGATTGTCTCAACTTACTTTCCCTTCATCTTCTTTTTCTCACTATATATGAGAGCTTTGTATTTGCTTGATAAAGAGGCTTCTTCTTAACCCATCTTGTGTAACATTTCAAATGCCACTATCTTGCCAATAACTATGGCCGGGGTCATGGTGCTCAAGTCCTTCATGTTGTGAAGGATGATGATGATGCTTGCATATTTCTTTTGTGGTAACACGGAGATGATCTTTCTCACGATGTCCGTATCATCTAGCTTTGTTAATCCTATTGAATGGAGCTCATTGATAATTAGATTCAAATGAGAATACATATCACGAACAAGCTCATCATCATTTATTTTAAAGGAATCATAATTTTGTTTAGCTAGACAATATTTTTGCTCACGGATATTAGTTGTGCCGTCATGGAGCTCTTGGAGTTTTAACCAAAATTTATGAGCCGTATTTAAAGTGAACACTTGATTAAACACATCCATGCTAAAAGATTTAAACAAACAATTTTTAGCTCTAGCATTGAAATGAATTTCTTTTTCTTCACTCTTTGTGGGTTTATCGGGATTTTTAATGGGTTTTATCCCGTCACGAATGATTGTCCAAATATCCAAATCTACCGCCTCAAGGTGACAAGCCATTCTAGCTTTATAGTAGAAAAAATTAGCGCCGTCAAAGTGCGGAGGCCTAGAGGTGTCCATCCCAATCACTCTAAATAGCGTCGGCTCTACGGCGGTGAAGCCAAATATCCAAATTGAGCCAACCGGCTCTGATACCAATTAAAAAGGGACCGTGACGCCTAAGAGGGGGTGAATTAGGCAACTTAAAAGTCTAACTTTAAACTATGGCTTATTTTTCTATCTTTAGCAAAACCTATACAAAAGATAAACTATCTAAATATGTAACTACGGTTTTTGCTAGTGTGTTGCTATCTCTACCGCAAAAGGAGTTATGCAAACAATGTAAATACGGAAACTAAAGAGTAAGGTAGAGATATGCAAACTCCCTTCGACGACTCTGATATTTTTACCGAGGTATCGAGAAGCGTGCAAGCTTCCCCCTAGTCATCGTTGGAGCCCCTCACAGGAATCCCTCACAAGGGCCAAGCTCCCGGTCGGGTATCTCCGTGGATAGCCTCGGGCCTTCCCCACGCACAAGTGGGTCTCCGACGTGCCTTCCGGCAAGCCTCTCCCAGATGCTCCCCGCCGTCTTCACTATCAACCTTCCGGTTGAACCGTCGCGGGCCATGTTCCCTTCGATACACGGTGGCGGCCACACCACAAACACGGTAGGTGTGATCTCGCAAGATTATAAGCCCCTCCGATGTACAACAATGGTGCGCGCAAGCACCGAGCGGTAAGAGGTATACAAATGTCACTAAACACTAGGCCTAAACCTAGAGCAAGCGCATAAGCGGTGGTCTAATCAACCTAAGCACTTCTCAAAGGACCTACGCTAATCACCTGATGAATCACTAAGCACTATGCAAGTGGAGATCACTAAAATAATGTATCAATACCCTTGATATGTTTTCTCATCTCCACCCTACTCAAATGGCCGGTTGGGGGTCTATTTATAAGCCACACCGAGAAAGTAGCCGTTGGAGGTGAAACCCAGCTTTCTGCTACTGATCGGACGCGTCCGGTCGTCCCGACCGTTGGAGAGCGCACGTTGATCGGACTCAGCTCAGAGTCCGGTCATCATCGACCGGACGCATCCGGTCACGCTGGCGCCGCTCTAGAACCTCTCTGGACTCGATCGGACGCTGTATTTCGTGCGTCCGGTCGTCCAGTTTGCTGCGTCGGGTCACGCTGAAAACACTGTCGTGACGATGAACAATGTCACCGGTGCGTCCGGACACTGCTTCGCTCAGCGTCCGGTCACTGCTGCTCAGCGTCCGGTCACAACTGCTGCCGACGCCTGGTGTTGCCGAGCACCTGATCGGACGCGTCCGGTCACTCATAGGGCCGCGTCCGGTCATCTCTGTCAGGTTCGTTTCTTCGTGATCTTGCATCCGGCTTGGTTTCAATCTTTGTGCTTGAACTTTGCTTGACCTTGTATGTCTTTTATGCATCTTCACATGTCTTTCTTGAGGTGTTGATCATCGGATCATCACGTCGCATTCGTCCAAGTCACGTTTTGTATCCTATTGAACTACAAAATAATTATTTACAAATTCATTAGTTCAATTTAATTATATTAGTCATCAAATATCAAAATCCCAAGTAAATAGGCCTAGAATTCATTTTTACTCACAGGACGCATAGAAACGGGGCAAAGGAAGCTAAGTTTTTTTTTTCTTTCAATTTACTTCAGAATCCACTCTGAATGAGTGAGTCACATGGACAAGCATTCGAAGCATAACAGAACAGGAGCATCATAGCTCGGAACTAACTGGGAAAGTTGCATGAACAAGAAGCCCAGGTCATCAATCTTCAACCTCTTACAAAAGTGGGCTCCAAAGGTCTTTAATCCGCAAAAGACTATATCATTCCCTCCTCCTCCTCCATGACCAAAAACAGCATGCAATCTCGCAAAGGTGACAGAACGAAAGGAAACGAAAGAAAGGGGGAAAAAAAGAAGAAAGAAATCTCTTCTCGGTTATTCAGGATTATCATGCCTTCTCCACTAACACCCTCCTTTCCCTTCATCGCCTAGCGCAAATTGTCCACTGCTTCGTCGAAAAGCATCTCCTGGTACCGGCACTCACTGCTGCAGAATGCTTTATCACCTCTGGAGAAAAGAGAGACAAAAAAAGGAACAATTATATCATAACAGAACAGTGATGACCTAACTGATGGATTAGAAAACGTGTATAGCTTTTCGAGAGAAGCGCTGCTCACGCTACGTCTTTGTGAACAGCACAGGCACAAATAAAACTACTGTGCTCGAGGAATTAGAGAACCAGAAAGATGCGAACCAAAAATGTTTTGGGAGCACATCTCAAAGCTACCATTTAGCACTCCCATGGATCATACACAGCAGCAAGCAAGGAAAAACGAGAACAAGACAAGGCGGAAATCCCTTTCGCCGTCTTATCCAAGCAAACTCAGTATATATCTTTTGGTATCAAGAGGCTGTCAAATTCGCAACTAGGATGTTGAAACTTTTGTTTTGGCGATGATGGCTGGTCCTGCTCATGGTCAGGAGTTAGGAGTAGGAGCACCAAGACCAGCACGGCTTGGGACGTGGACCTCATTTAGCAGCATCAATGGGTGCAAATTAATTTGCAAATTGTCAATATATAAACCCCTGCCATAGGATAATGAACTCCTTTGTGTAGTTTTCGATGTGAAAGCGAAACGTAACAATCTGGAATTCTAAATCTTATAAGCAGCTACTCCAAGTAAACACACTGTATTTTAAATATGTGGCTTAAACAAGGAGCAAGTTTCCCTTCGAAAGCAACAGGAAATCAAGGCGTCACGATCTCAAATGAGCAAGCAACATGTTTCCGATGAGTAGTGTATAGTATTAAATTTAAAGGGGTATCAAACTATCAGTGAAGATTGGTCACACTAAAGCTGATATAATCTTGATAAGATCCACTAAATATGTACTGTATGATCCACACTCCAATCAGAAAGTCATAAACGACTCCAACGTTAGAACTACTCACAAGGTCCCCCAGGCAATGATGAAAGCCATCTTCGTGTCAAATAACAGTACATAACCAAAACTCTCCAGGGCATTGCTTTTAAGGTACAATAAAAGAACTCAACATTGTTAGCCTAAAAAATCTCCTAACCCCGCCTTTGCTGGTGATGGGATTTTTTTAGCTAGCCTAAATTCACTCCCATAGGGTGTCAACCCTATGACAATTCACTTATTATCATCTAAACAGGAGTTATGAAATCAGCGTTATTTTACATTCCTGGGTCACTAATGGGAAAAATATTACACTGTGAGAACACAGGGTGCTGTCAATTTTAGTACAGGAAGCTAAATTCTTCGTCCTGCTACACTACACCCTTTAAGTCTTATAAACTGGTAACACATACACTGCGTGTCTGAATGTGTTATTTTGGTGGTGTTGTTGTGTGGTTCAGATCTAGCAGATCATGTTATCAAAGCTGGTGTCCTAACTCCTAACATCAAACGATCATTATGTATTTTTCATTCATGCTTCCTCTAGGACAGGCAATAGTCTGACAGTGATTTGTCCTTCCTCTCATGTGAACATATCATTCATGCATTTAACTTTACGAGCAAGGAGCAGAGGAATCCAAATCAATTACTGAAAATACAGCAATTAGTTCTGTTGATCTACAGTGAACCCAAATGGATTTTCATTCGGAAAATCGTTACTGCGGAAACAGAAGGAAATCAGAGATGATTACTCACTGATAGATTAAGATGTCATTGCCATGTCCAAGTTGCTTGTTGCATGCATGGCAAGAGCTCAAGAAGCCACACGCCACAGCTCCGCCGCCGGCGACGGCGGCCGCGGCCTTGTCAGCCTTGTCGACTAGCAAATCCCCGCAGCTCTCGACGATGCAGTCGTCGAAGATGTGCGTGGTCCTCGGATTCGGGCCGCGCGAGATGACGCAGGTGTAGTCCTCCGACATGGCCATTTCCCCGGGGGGCACGACGGCCACGCCGCCGGCGAACACCCGGGCGGACGGCGAGCTCACGATCTCCGGCAGGAACCTCCTGGCCGGCGATAGCACCGCGAGCTGCGCGTCCCTGTTCTTGGCGCCGAACTCGATCGGGGAGGAGACCAGCTCGATGGCCCTGCCTGATGGGACCTGGATTCTGAGCTGGGACCCGAACACCACCTTGCCCCCGGCGACCTTGGCGTCCCCGTGGTCCCGGAGCACGTCGGCGAGGCCGACGCCGGCCGGCTCCGGAGGCGCGGTCGCGTCCGTGTGCGCCCTCCGGAGGCTCCTCTCCGACAGGAACGGGGGCAGCGCGGAGCAGCAGAACTGCTTGGTCTCGAGAATGGAGGTGGGGCTCACGGCTGACGAGGGGCCCTCGGAGGACCCGTCCAGCAGGAGCCCGGCCTGGGGCAGCGCCATCGCCACGAACGGCCTCGGGGAAGGGAACACAGGAGCGGCAGCAGAAGAGGACGACGATGGATGCCTCGGCGATTGGGCGGCAGTGGCCGCGGGGAGCTCAGCCATGAGGCCGCCTGCTCCTCCTTGGTTGGCACCAGCACCAGCACCACCAACCGCTCTTCTCGATCTGTTGCGCAGCATGGCGAGCGCCTCTGCCTCTGCGTGAGTGTGAGCAGGCAGGCGATGCCATCAGCAATGATGAAAGGGAAAAAGATGGCAACTTCTGCGACCGCTTTTGTTGCGTAGTCGCTTTAAAGAATGAACAGAGACGGCGCAGAGGCCAAAAAGCTCACCAGAAAAGAAAGCGGCCTCCTTGGATGGATCAAACTCCGGCAGTAATGGCCGCTCCTACCACATTGCCCCGTCCTCGGATCCGATCAGAACCCAAAGAATTTTGTTCTCTGTTCCTTCTCCCAGTAACGGGCAGTAAACTCACACGAGGAGTCCCCGCCGGCGACAGGCTCCGATCAGGGAATGGGAAGGTAAGGCAACCAACAAGAACGGGGAAGGAATAGCAGACGGAAATCAATGGAAACAACCACCGGGCCGGGTCAAAAATCTCGCCGGAAACCGCTCCCGATCGAAAACCCCCGAGTTGGAGAGGGAAAACCCCGGAAAGGCGCCTCCTTCCTACTCGATTATGCGGTTCTTAGGTGATGGGTGGGGTTTGGGTATTTATACATATACAAGCTGGAAGCCTGGGTTTGTTTCCTCTGCTAATCTCTCTTTTCCCCCGGGGGCCGGGGTAACGGGGGGTAACTGTTCTTGAGCAGCGGAGACCAGAGAGGGGTTTTCTTCCTCCTCCTTCCACTAATGTCTAATCCACTTCTCCGTCTCTCTCCCAGGTGAGGGGGGAAGGGGAGGCTGACAGGGGGCCTGTTATTTAAAACCTGCACGCGCACGCGCTCATCTCCAATCAGACTGGCAGCAAAGCAACAGGTCGTCAGGATTTTTGGTAATTTTTTTTCCGGTCGAGTTGAATTCACGCTGATTGGCTCGTTGGATGTGACGCTTGTTGATTATGCTAGTGCAATGGCAATCACCGCTTGTTAATTGCGGCATTTGTGCTAGTACAGTAGTAGTATCTCTTGTACGGTAAGCCGGGCGCAAATGCTTCGTGCGGTGAAAAGCTATTCGTGAACTGTTAGCAGCAAGGTTTAGGGGAAATAAAACAACTTACCTTATATTTGAGGGTCCATGAAATAAAAAAATACTTTCGAGCATACGTACTCCTACTCTTGTCATTAAAATAGAGGGCCCTTAAATCCCCTCCCCCTTCCCACGTTCCTTCGGGGATCATCCGATCTGCCGTTGTCTCTCGCGAGATGTCTGATCCGCCACCGCCCGCTCTCTCCGTACTCGGCATCAACCTCTATCATCCACGCTGGTCTCTCCGCAATGGCTCCTTTGTTCATCCTACATTCTCAACATCTAGCACTTGCGCCTGCACCGGCCTCCACCACCATCGCGACTGCACCGACGAGGAGGGTAGGGACTCACTTACCGCGCACGTGACGGTCTTCTCGCGATGTCTTCTCCGTTCCTGGCCTCCACCATACACACTTGCACTGATCTCCACCGCCGCACTCGCACCAACGGGGAGGAGGATGGGGACTCGCACAAGAGCCAATGTCGTCAAGGCGCCAAGGAGAAGGGTCGCGTGTTAGAGGGAAGAGAACGGGCGATGGTGCAGGGCAGTGTTATCGATGACAGAGAAAAAAGTGAAAGATGGAAGAAAAAAAGCTACTAGAGCACATACAACACGTTTCCTTGAGTCGTCGGCGTCTCATAAGTCATAACACTTTCAACAAACTCCCTCGCGAGCAGCGGTTCGGACGAGGTCATCGTCTCGCGAAATGCCAGTTTTCGGTCTATGCTCCGAGAAATCGATGATGTGCTGTAGAGCGTGTCTTCTCCCGGTAACGAATGAGCCGATCCTGTGTGGGCGTTGCCTATTCCCCGTGCTCTCCCTGCCTCCCCATTCCATTGTCACCATAGAAGCACGCTATGGAGGAGGAGCCAAAGAGGGCAGCGATAGCATGATCGTCCAACGGCATGACGACGGCACGACCGTCGAATGGCGTGGCGGTGGCATGGCCAGCCCCGGCCGGCCATAGCGGCCGTTCCCGAGTTCGTGATCTATTTAAGCAAGGAGCTGATGGCAAAAATAGGAAGAAGTGGTGGGTTCTAGGTGAAAATGCAATAAAATATAAGCAAGAAATAAACTTACATAAATTTAGGGATCCAAATACAAAGTGGTTTGTCAACTTCTTTTATTGTATATGGATTTTATTTATAAGTTTCAGCCGATTTGCAAGTTCTTTGGAAAAAAATAGAATGTTCTTCTATTTTTCCGAAGTGGATCGAGATTGAAAGTTGCAGACAGTTAAACAATTTCTCGCTTCTATTCATGTTTGACCATGGAAGCATTAAATAATTTATAGACAACTAAACATGCAACTCATTGTACAAGCTATGTGTTTAGTTATCTATATATAAGGTAGAGGAAACTTACAGACAACAAACTGTAAGCAGCTAATAATTTAGTAGCGTGGTCTCAAACAAAAGAACTATACAAGGCTCCCAGTAGACTCCATGTTTAGTCCAGGCTACACATGCTAGAGTAAAAATAAATCTAGAAATTCTCTAAATAATAAGAATCATTTGGCCTTTACTTATCAAAAGTTGCACGGTGGATGAGGTAGATGTTACGATAAATTTTCCTAGGTTGCAACTTGGTTGCAGACCGCTTGGATGAAGGCATATGGGAGACAGAGATGGTAACTCGTCTCCGGTTAGCCGTTGCAGGGGACATGCGTCTTGATATGGCCATCCCGGTGTGGCAGATTTTGTTTTTGCATTAGGGAAAGAAGAGTTAAGATTTATTTCAAACTGATTTATATGCGAATCTATAAGTACTGCAAAAATTTAAAGAAGAGGCTAGCGCTCAGACGTCCGGCACCTAGGACGCGTCTACCAGCCAACCGCGAATCGACTCCACCATGCGTCGCGGCCCACCAACGGGAATCCGATCTCAGGCCGCTCGCACTAACAGAGACAACAGAAGCGGTATCCCTACCCTGCCCGCGTAACAGAGAAGGGGAGAGCGCCCTATCGTGTCTACGCTGCCATCCCCACCGCAGTCTGAGAAAGATGCAAGGCAACAAAAGGTGAGAGGAGACACCGAGGCGAGGCAATAGAAGGCGAGGAGGGAGATGCGACACTTGATGTACTTTTGAAACATCCAGATGCATCACTTGCAAAATAGTACGTCTGAAGACAGATGAAACACTTGAAACATGTGTCTGAAACACTTATAAAAACACCTTGAAAAAAACTTGAAACCGTTACAAACATACACGACATCCATATAAAACACTTGCAACATATATGTATGAAACATATGCAACATCCAGCTAAACACACTTACAACATATGTCTGAAAAACAGATAAAACATTGGAAACAGAAGCTTGCAACATACGTGTACAACCATTGCAACATATGCAACATTCCGATCTACTTTTGCAATATCCATATAAAACACTTGCAACATACTACCTTCGTCCTGAAAAGAATGCAACTGTAGGCTGCGTGCCACGAAAAGTGGTTCATGTTTGGCCAAGTTTTTAGTAAATAATATTTACAGTTATGTCTTTAAATTAATTTATTATAAAAATATATTTCATAATTAATCTATGGTATTTGTTTGGTATCATAAACATTGATATTTTTTTATTTATAATTATTCAAACTTAAGGTGCTAAAACGTGACACTGTGCTAGAATTGCATTCTTTTAGGGACAGATGTAGTACCTATGAAACATCTGAAACACTTAAAACATATGATTGCAACATTATTTTCAATACAACATCTTCTTGCTGCTTGGGAGATTGGTGAGGCTCGTCGGCATGTTGAGTTTACTGGAGGCAGCCGCGCCGTCGCCACCATCGATCAGATCGACTCTGCCTACTGCGAGGCCGGCGGGGGACCCCTTCGTGGCCGCCGATATCCTAGGCTCCCGCAGGAAACGCAGCCCCCGTAGCCGATGCCATAACCCTAGCCACCACCGGATCTGTCGTCGCCCAGGGGATCTTGCGAGTGGCAAAAACGGCGGCAGGCGGAGCGGGGACGGGGCACGCGGTGCACGGAGCGCCTGGGTCGGCCTGGGTGTAATCATTATCAAAAATTTAAAACTATTTACTGTTTACAAATAAATTTGCTTTCATCCTTAGTTTTCCGTGTGTTGTTTTCAAATAAAAAAAGGAAGAAGTTTTTCCGTGTGTGCTCGCCGACACGGTAGGATTATCATTTGGCATCGCACATTTGCACTGCCTTTCAATGGTGCTACAGGTGAGTTCGTACGCTATACGGGGGAGACGCACGTACCTTTATACGCTCGCATATCGCTACACGCACCGTATACGCATGCATTTATTTACTACAAACAGAGGTCAGTCACGTCTGTTACAGTCGTGCAGGTACGTACAGGCTACTTTTTGTGTCATCGCCTGCCGAGCACAGGACAGGACGCATCGACTTCGTGACGGTTTGAGACAACGCACTCTGATGAAGTTTCAACGCAAGTGCTCGTGCGTGTTTGCTCGTCGTTTAGGCCCTTGATGATGTCACTACTGCAGTGTACTCCCTCGGTCCAAAAAAAAATGCAATCGGAGGACTGGACACAGATACCAATGCAACATAGAAAATTACCAGAATACCCCTATGAACTGATTTGACATGTTTGTAATCATTGCAAACAACAAGAATCTCGCAGTAGCAATTGCAGCCAGTACCAGAGGAGAGGTATTACACGTGTAACATTCGCAAAGTTTCGGAGAACACTCTAGAGACACGGCCATTACACGTGTCATTACAGAAAGCTTGCCCACAGTTTGCAGCTCAGAATCAACCGTGGGGAATGCAAAATTTAAACCACCGCGCCAGAGGATTTCCCGCCTGTGCCACACCCCTCCTTCCCTCGTATAACTGCAGGACACACGAGAACATCCACTCCATCAGCCTGGAAGCCATTTCCATCACCAGCCATGGCCATAGATCTGAACACTCTTTCAGATCCTCATGGAGCGGTCCTACTTGATCTCAATGAACAGCCTCCGTATGAGCAAGATCAACTTTAT